ACTGAGGAACTTTTATCTGCATAGAAACACAAAAGTCAAAGTTATATTAACATCTTATTAACATCAATTCATTATTATAGACAAATGATGTATGTWTCATTTGTTTGTTAAATTTCTAAATCTTTTTCATTTGCTGTCAGCAGAAGTAAATGAAGCTCAGCTGAGTTTGAAGGATAAAAGTCTTCACATTCAGTGTTATCTTGTGTCTTGATGAAACCCATGACGTCTGGTGGATCAATTCTAAGAGCATCCATTTAAAATGAATTTAAAGTTGACATTCATTTCAAAGTGGAGCTGAACTCTTACCAGGGTAGCAAGTCTTTGCGTTGAATGTCGTTGTTTCAAAAGTCAGAGGGTTGCTCACCCTGCAAGTGTATATTTTATCGTCGTGTTCATCCTCCAGCAATATTGTTAACTCAGGGCCGGGCAGCATATTTGCACTTGACTCCCACTCATACTTCATCAAGGACTGAGGCTGTGTTGGCTCAGCAGAGCATGTCAGCGTCGCCCGGGCTCCACGTGTGTCAGAGCTGCTGCTGTTCATGTCACAGGAGACGCTGGGTTTGGTAACCTTGCCTATAAGGATTTATAATTTTAAAAGAAATGCACACATGAATACAACTTAATTAACATTACATTCATGCATTAACACTACTAAATTTGGTATAGGGAGGTTAGGAGGGGAAAAGTACTAGAAGAAATAAAGAAATATCACAAGTCATTTCATTACATGAAAAATATTATTTGCATTAACTGTTACAAACAATATTATAATCATGTCATAGACATCACAGATTAAAACAGAAAATATATTGTGTATAATATATTCATATTATAAATATATTAGTATTAATACGCATCATTAATCATGAACTTCTGCACTTATGTGTCGCATGATGCATCAAGTTTTTTCAAAACACAATTTAAAACCCACCTCATCAGAACCAGTGTGATGTGTTGAAATGTGTGATTTTGACATTTTAACGTGTGATTGTTTATTATTTTTAGTTCTTTGCTTTCTGTATTTCAACCTATGTATAGTGTCTTTGATTGTGGTTGAAGGTGCATTAAGATCATTATCATTCTTATTATTGAGACAAAACATTATGATTATTGATTGATCATTTACTTTCAAATATTTACTAAGGAAAATTCTGATGTGACAGTTTGAATTTTATAATCAAAGCATGTGTTACTTGCAGCCCCACTGAATCACATACAGTATCATACCTTCTGTTGCACCAGGTGTAATCCTATTTTCCACATCATCTCTGTTGCTTTTTGCAAAACATGCTGAAAAAAAGAGGAAAAAAACAAAACATAGAAACGTAATGTTCGTCTTTTACATATGGTGAAGATCAGAATCAATAATAGCATTGACTTCAGTAGTACAACACAGAAATAACTTCTACATACTGTTGTTCCACTTTGAAGACCATGTGATCTCTAAATATGAAAGAATCTTACCTCATGTAAGACTACTGCATTTATTCAGCTCTTGGGTAGCATGGTAAATATGTCAGTTGATGTACAGTATGTTGAGTATTTGTGATAGATCGGTTTTAAAAAGGAAATCATTTTGCTTAAGGTGTAATTTGTTTTTAACTTTACCTTTATTCTTTAGTTTGCAGAACATTACGCCCACAACAGCAATTAGTAGTAGTATGATGAAGAGGATGATTAGACTGACAGTCAGCGCTACTGAGGAACTTTTATCTGCATAGAAACACAAAAGTCAAAGTTATATTAACATCTTATTAACATCAATTCATTATTATAGACAAATGATGTA